CCCCAAAACCCCAAAACCCCAAAACCCCAAAACCCCAGCAGACTCAAAATTGGATTATATGGTAATTTTAAATATTAAGAAAGAATTAATATATTAAAGTTTTAGAGATATAATTTATAACCAGGATTATATCAGATGTAAGGCATTCTTACCATTAAAATATTTTTAGTATTTTTGAGAATTTCAAGTTTATATTTTCCCCTAATTTTTAATCATATCTTTTCAAATGTTACACAAAGCAGCTAATCTCTATCTTTCTGAGATTCCACAAGATATATCAGTGAATTCAGCTCATTATCAACTTGAGTGACTCTGCTTGTGATAAAATCATTACTTTTAATACCTGAGAATTGTAGATCCATAAGTATCTCTGCTTTCTTGGATATTCCATTGTATAAAGTTACTGTTTATGTATCGACAATGAGAATAAGTGGCTTTAAATTATCAGTGGGATCACTTAACAGTAAACTATTTAGGTACTTCATAGGCTGATCTTAGTATTTAATTTCTCTAAATATGTTTTATGTACTTCTATCTATCTGATAAAAGACCTTTTAGTCCTTGGCAAAAGCAAACATTTAATCACTGGATACCTCAGCCATGCAAAGGACAACATAGGCTTCTAAATACCTCTCTCTCTGGTTCTCAGTAAGCATCAATTTTTGCTGAGAATTAACTTTGAGCTCATAAATAGTTATTCCTTGTTATGCTATGATAAGATCTTATAGATTTTGAGACACGAACAGATCATTTATTTAAAGCTTACAGGCTAAAGAAATTTGCATCATAACTTTGCCTCTTTTAATGTCTAGGATATCTATCAACCCATCCTTCTCGCCTGCTAGAAGAAATTTGTCTTTAAATGTAACCAGTTTCACGACTTAATTCGTAGTTTTGCCTAACTCTTTAATCTCAAATGTATAAGCATTCATTGAGATTAATTCTTAATTTTCAAGTGCCAAGTAAAACTTCTCTCTATTTGATACCCCTGCTATGGCTTAGCTTGCAATAACAAAAGTTTTTTGGGAGGTAAATTTCTCATTGTAAACAAGAAGCTTATTTGTATTAGTTGCTATTATAAACCTAGCTTTTCCTTCTATACTGCTTACAACGCAACTATATTTCTCACTATGCTCGCTTTAAATTATTTTTTCAGCTTTAAAATTAAGATCTATCTCGCTCATTTATGAGGAAACCACACTCTGAGAAGGGTAGCTCACAAATAGATTTCTAATGCTTTATTGATCAAAATTGTTGTAAGGTGCAAGTCCCATCTCAAATTCATATTACTAAGGCATTGAATTTCCCTGTACTATTAAGTATCTGTATGTCTCCTAGATTATTTGATCAGTAATGTTTAATTATAGGATATATTATTCCAGTGAGGACTAAAATGGAGATAAAATGGACTTAAACTATGAATCGGTTTCTTAGCAAATTATCAAATCTGAGTATACATGAAAGATCGCATTAATGTTATCAGCTAGTTTTGCTAAATTTACCCCTCTAAGCTAGATATTAAGTTCAGATGTGATTGAGCGTTATTTATCATCTTTAAGCTTAATAAATCTCATCAATTCATCTTGATGTCTTTCAACATCATTGGCATCTTTTGATTCGCACAAAAATTTAAACTTTGAGAGGTTGTCATCAAAAATTTTTCTATATTTTCTGAGATTCAGTAAATAAGATGATAGATCTGTTTTAATCCAGTCAGCGTATTTTACCTAGACTACATAGTTGTTGAATTTATAGACTTTATTTATTAGCTTCGTAGAGGATAAGTAGATGTTATCCTTGGTAGTAGTAAAATCAGATACAGTTTTCGGAGAACCTTTTAGAGATTCGGATGAGTTTTACTAAACTATGCTACTATTGCTTCTGCTTATGCTTCTGTCTTGGCTTGCATTCACTCCACCCCCAGCACTATATCTTGAATTAATATATTCCAGCGAATCGGATACGCCAATGCTCTAGATTGTGAAATCAAGAATTTTGTTTATTAGGACATCCTTAATTTACTGTTCAGGGCTTCTTGACTAGTCAGGTTTATATTTGAGGGTGTTAGCTGTGAATTCCTTTTAAATGCTTGTGAATTCAATCAGGTCATCAAAGGTTTTCATGATCTTAGATTTTTCTACCATTTAATCAAGATAAAAACTTAGAGGACAGTCAATTAATTATTGTAATATAAATAAATAGGTTAATAAGAAAAGAACAATAGATTTTAATCCAAGAAAGAGTTTCTTATAAATGGTTTTATTTTTCAATCATTCTGTTTTACTTGATTTACTGATATTAAATCTTATGGGGTTTTGGGGTTTTGGGGTTTTGGGG